ACTTACAAAGGAGAGAGATAAATTATAAGAAGAAAAATAAGACTTGAAGAGGATGAGTTTTCTTGAAATTAAGAAAAACAGAGAGACCATGACGAAGCATGATAAAAAACTACTACTGACAACTTAAATAAAAAAACCAATAATGGATCCTACATAATATAAGAAATTTTCATATTTCACAAAGAAGCTTCCAAAAATGTTTTTGCGTTATGCCCAACCTAAAAGAAAAAAAAAGGAAAAAAAATTTGACATTCCAATATATTATATATATTTTGTATTTGGTAAATAGATATTACATGTGTGTTTTGAAATTCCAATATTTTTATAATCATTTTATCTTTTCTATTTGATAAATATATCATTACCAAAATTTTACTAAATAGTGATGAATTTTCACATCGTTATTTGTGAAAAATCTATTGCTATATGCAATTAGCGACAGATTAGAAGACATGTATTTTGTCACTAATATGGTAGTCACTAGTTCTTTAGAGACCAAATATTTCTTTCGTTGCTAATCCATGACATAATATTTGTTACTAAATTGTTGAATTTCTATAATTTCTTATATATGTCACCATATTGTCGCTATTTTCACTTAAATCCATCGCTAAATATTGACGGAATGGGTCGTCATTAACATTCTCGCAATTTCATCTCTAAATCTATCGCGATTTAGCGATTGTATATGTATTCATCTCTAGTTACCCTCTCTATTCCATCACTAAATTAGTCGCTAATTTAAAAAAAAAAAAAATCATTAGCCATTTATTGGTAATTGTAATTACAAAAAACTATAAAAACATCTTATTAAAATATAATATATTATTTAATAAATTTAAAATTGTAAAAATTAAAATAAATATATAAATGCATTAAGATGTACAAAAACATTTTTTTAAAAAATAGTTCTCATTATCACGGACACCTACATCGTCTTTCGGTTGTTGACTATTAAGAGGAACAACTAACTATTAGGTTATAGGAAGGTCGGCAGAAGGGAGAGGAGGCGATAGAAGGTTCTCTAAAAACCCCACAATTCTCTATAATTGAGTCTACATGTTACTAATTTGACTGGCTCGCTATCGCATGGTAGCCTCCATCCATTTGATCATATCCTCGTACTAGGTAGAAATCTTCTAGATATTACCACTAAGATACCACAAAGTAACGAGAGGATGAGTCGGTGCTAGAATGTGAGTAAAACTAGGATGCATAAGTTTCAATATCGTACACTATTTACTTCTTCTACCCTATAAAAATATCCAAATATTTTTTGGACATGTTAATATCTTGAAATGATACACCATCCTCATGTTGCTTTGTAGTAGCTACTTTTTGCATTGACTACACATGCTCCTAAGTCATTGAAATAATTATGATATTAAGATATTTTTTAGATTGTATCGATAGATGTATATATATTTTAAAAAATATAAAACATTACCATTACTATCTATAGTCGCTCGTCAACGAATGTCCTATCTTTTCTTTTGTGTGTGGTCATGAACAACTCATAAGAATTTGAGTTAAGACCTAATTTATTATTCTGAAAAAAATAAACAAAATAATATGAGATGAAATAAATATAAAATAAATTTATAATATAATGGATAATATAGTATTTATCAAACACTCAAGCATACTCAATTAGGAAAAAGGTATTCCAACTTAAGGTTTAGCAATCGAGTAGCTACAAACAATCGTGATTGATTGTCATAAACGAGCCAAATCTCCTTATTCGTTGCATTGAACATGTCATAAAAAACTCGAGCATTAGGATTTGATACCTCATCTATGTTAGACTAATTAAATGATGAACTGACTACATCCATCATCATTGTTTCATATGGATTAGGGGTTGACTACAACTCCCCGGGCCTTCATGAAAATTTCTCGATATAACATAACTCCTCGAATCAACTTTCTCATGGTGTATCCAATCATAATATCCAAACATAAAATCATATCTCAGTAAATGTTATTTAGCCATGACAATCTCTTCAAAATTTCAATTCGATTACACTTACGGTGATTGCAAGGATACTTTAACTTTCTTTCGTCAATACATTCAAAATGAGTAATAGCAAATGCGAGAAAATTCTTCAACCTCATTCAAGAAATCAATATTTAAATACCCATCAATACACGTAACAAACATTTATTTATGATCAAATCTCATTATTTTGTTTTTGTATTTTCGAGCCAATACAAACTTATTTAATTAATAATTTTTCGAAACATCTAATAAAATTTCGACGAAGTCACTCCTATAAATTGCACCTTTTTCAATTAACAATTACTCCAAATGATCACACGAATAACAAATTAAATCAACCAACAATTAGTTTATGCATACTAAGACCAACAATTATCTCGGATACTCCATCAAAATAAATTCCAAACTCATCCTTCCAACTCTATTGCATAGCATTAAACCGACCTTATTTGTCCTCAATTATCGAGGGTCTCCGACCTCTCGAGTTTGATACACTACTGCATATCTTGACACACTTCAATGATTATATATGAAATAATTAAACTAATTAAGTCAAATTCTAACCTAATTGATTTTAAAATAACAATAAATTAACAAGTTTTCATGTAAATAAATTTTTAATTCAACCAATTAAATATAATTAACCTAATTAAAAAATTAAAATCAAATTAACTTAATTAACTCTAATTTTAAATAAATTAGATATCAAATAACAATTACTTAACAATTTCTAATATAGATAAACTCTAAATTCAACCAATTAAACATAAAAAAAACCTAATTAATTAATTAATTAATTAACTGAATCAATTCTAATTCTAACCAAAGTAAATTCAAAATAATAATTAATTAATAATTTCTAATATAAACAAACTTTAATTCAGCCAATTAAACATAACTAACTTAATTAATTAATTAAATATAAAACAAAGTAACTCAATTAATTATAATTCTAACCAAATTAAATTTAAATCAACAATTAATTAACATTTTTAATATAAATAAAATTTTAGTTAACCAATTAAAAAATTTAATCTAATCTAATTAATTAATTATAAATCAAATTAACTTAATTAATTCTAATGCTAGCCAAATTAAATTTAAAATAACAACAAATTAACAAGTTTTAATATAAAAAAAATTAATTCAAAAAATTAAACATAATTAAACTAATTAATAAATTAAATATAAATTTAATTAACTTAATTAATTATAATTCTAACCAAACTAAATTTAAAATAACACTTATTTAGCAATAATGTAAATAAACTCAAAATTAAACTAATTAAACATAATTAACCTAGTTAATTAATTAAATATAAATCAAATTAAGTTAATTAATTTTAATTCTAACCAAATTAAATTTAAAATAAAAATCATATTAACTTAAATAAGAAAATTAAAAAAATTAATTACCAAAATGACAATTATCTAACAAATTTAATCTAATTCAACCAATTAAAAATAATTAACTAATTATAAATAAAATTAACTTAATTAATTAAAAATCAATTCTAATTAAATTTAAATTACAATTAATTGACTAATTAACCTAACAATTTAACAAATTAATCAGCAATCAACATAACAATTAATAAAAATTAATAATTTAACAAATAAATCAACAAAATTATAATTAAATATATTCACATTCATAAATCAATTAATTAAAATTAAATTAACCTATCAATTACAATAAATTGCTAAATTTAATTACGAAAATAAAAGAGAAAAAATATAATTTAGGTGGAATTATACTAAGAGAATGGAAGAAAAAACAGAGGTTTTTTTGAGAAAAAAAAAAAAAACCTTTGAGTGGGTGTGGATCAATTAAGAGTAGAGGAGTAGAGTTTGATGATGGTTTAAGGAGGTCGGAGAATGGTAGTTGTTGGTTGGAGAAGGAGGAGGAGAATAAAATGGGGGACGAGGAAGAAGAAGAGGGTTAAATTTGAACTAAAAAATACCAACGGACTCGATCCCATCATTAATCCGTCACTATTTAGCGATAGATATTTACGTCCGTCACTAATCTGTATCAAAATGCCTACCAATTTTGCATAGCTAGCTACCTAATTTTTTACATATAACGACAAATATAAGTTTCCATCACTAATCTATTGTAGATTTGGCATTGTTCGTTGCTAATCCGTTGCAAATTGAGCGATTTTGTCTTTCAACAAGTCCACCCAATTTTTTTCAGATTCTCACTTTTAACAATGAATTTTTTTTGTATTTAAATTGTGAGGGATTTGTTTTTTAGCGACATAATATCCTTCGCAGAATCATGAAGTTTAAAATAGTGATGGATTTGCCATTTTGTTACTATTTTTCCTAATAAATCAATCGCTAAACCATTTTTAAAACTCTAAGAAAAATTTTACGATCAAATTTAACGATGGATTAGTGTCGATCGCTAATGAACCGTTGTTATTTCATTTACGTTCGTCGTCGATTCTAATAATCACTATTCTATTGCTATTTACTTTTTATTTATCGACAAGCATATATTCATTGCAACTGAGCAAAATTCTAATAGTGTATGATATGCATATTTTATTTTTGAAAGATATTTTTAGAGTTATTATGGAATGTTACTATTCACAATTCAAAAAATGGACCTCCTAATTTTCAAATGGAATCTCAATCTAACAACCACATACATTAATTTGGCCCTTAAAAACATAATGTGTTTTCTCAAAACATTTCTTTAATTTGATTTATTTTCAAGTTTTTAGTGATTTATATTTATCGTTGCCTATAATTTTTTTCGAAAGATTTCAACATTTTGTTATTCTTGAAGTGGATGTCTCATTATCAATCTTCTATATTATTTTATTTTCATTGATTTATTTAATATGTAATGGTTTCTCTCCAAGCCTCTATATAAAGGAGGGTTAGCATGAGTATTGAAACCATAATCTCTCAAGCCTTAAACACTCAAGCTATAAACACATTTGTAACTTGCTAGATGGCTATTCTTCATGGCTGGCTCTTATTAGGAATGTTCTTCCTAATAAGCTCGTCTGCTTCTGCTAAGCTAGTGATGCCAAACAATAATGAGCTCTTAGATGTTGTAGATTGTCCAAGGTCTTTCAATCGTACATCATTTCCAAATGATTTCATATGGGGGACAGCCGCATCCGCTTACCAGGTAGCTACATTGAAGCTTTCCTTATTTCCCTAATAAAGTAGTATCCACTTTTTTTTTTTTCCTTTCTTTTCCTCCTAATATAAAAAATGGATGTTGCTATTTATAATTAAGAGTTACAATGCAAGTAGATTACATATTTGGGATTTCCCATAGATCATAATACAATGCATTTTATATATATAGTTTTGATATGTTTTAATTTGTGTATGGTATTCAAGTACGAGGGTCATGCAAACCAAAGTTGCAGAGGTCCGAGTATATGGGACACTTTTACTGAAGACTTTCCAGGTGCCTCTCTTGTTTTCTGTACTTCAATTAATTGTGCATGCTACTAAGAATATTAATTATTAATATTTTTTTAGTTGATTGATGTTAATTAACACAATATCATATATATACATACACGCACATACTTTGCATGAATAACTAAATTAATTATTTGTTTACAACATTCAGAGAGGATAGCTGATGGCAGCACTGGCCAACAGGGAATTGACTTCTACAATCGCTATGAGGTATAATTTGATGAAGATGGCACTTCGTTGTCTTTAGGATGAATTATGATAAACTGTCTTCCACGTAAATTGATTCATTTATCCAAAATTTCTTTTTCCTAAATAGCATACAAATAAAAATTTCTAAATTAAAGACATGTTTTCATAGAAATAAAACCTACACAATATTAATGAGAATATTAGACATCCATTGGTAGGCTATTTTCTCCATTAAAATAACGCAGCATATATAGCTTCTTTCAACCTTTGAGTTTGTAGCTATTAGTTGTTTTATCTCCTATGTTTCAAATTTATTTACTTTATAATCCATAAAATATTGTTCGATTAACCTACGTACACTCTTCATTTATTGACTGCATGTGACAGAATGACGTTCGAACAATAAAGGACATGAACATGGATGCTTTCAGATTCTCTATCTCCTGGCCTAGAGTAATTCCCCGTACGTATTCTTTGGAACTAAAATGGTGCATGTGTGTTCATTTATTTATATTTATAATTTTTTTACCCATAGTTTTCTAACAAGGGGGAAAAAAACTTATTATATCAGATGGGAGAATAAGGGCTGGAGTGAATAGAGAAGGAATTGAATTTTACAACAAGGTCATCAATGCAAGCATAGCAAAAGGTTTAAATCTTCTCTCTCTCTCCTCATATCTTAGTCATGTGTATGTTCTGCATGAAACTTAAAAAAATAATTTGTTAACAAATCTGGTTCCAAGGGAATAAAAAAAATAATTTTTTTTTTTGTTGTAGAGGAATTGAATATTTGTGACCAACTATTTTAGAATTTCTAGATTTCAAAATTGTGAATTTGATTTGAAAATAAGAAACTAAAATCCAAGGGAATAAAAATTTAAATCATTATTTTCCTTTTTTGTTAAATAAAAAGTCTAATTTGATTGGAGCAAGAATAGACATTATGCATCTTCCCAAATAGTAGTCAAACTTTATAAAAAGTTGAATCATAATATTACTAGTCTCATTTTCTGTACTGTAAAACACACAGGTTTAAAGCCTTTTGTAACTATCTTTCATTGGGACACTCCTCAAGCACTGGATGACAAGTATGGTAGCTTTCTAAGTGATAATATAGTGTAAGTTATCTGCTCTCACCTTATTATCACACATTGTGCATTATATATATACACACACACATATACTGTAGATCTTCACAAATAGTAGTCAAACTTTATTTATTGGCAAATATTAGGATATGAAATTGTAACATATATATTTTTTTGTTTCTTCTTATTTATAGGAGTGATTTCCGAGATTTTGCTGATCTTTGCTTCAAGGAGTTCGGTGACCGAGTGAAGCATTGGATTACTTTAAATGAGCCACAGAAGTACACTAGCTCTGGCTATGATGTAGGTGAATTTGCACCAGGTCGATGCTCCCCATGGATTAATGAAACGTACTGCAAAAATGGAGACTCTGCCACTGAGCCTTACCTAGTTGCCCATCATCTTCTCCTTTCTCATGCAGCAGCAGTACAACTATATAGAGAAAAATACCAGGTATCCACTAAATGTATACTTTTATTTAATCTATCCTATTAGAGAACATATCCCACATAAAATCAATCATAATATGGATGATATGTTTTGTTTATTTACTATGTAGGCATCTCAGAATGGGCAGATTGGGATAACACTCAATGCTCGTTGGTATGAACCATACTCTAACAGCACTGATGACATTAATGCTACCCAAAGAACTCATGATTTCAATCTTGGTTGGTATGTATTTCATCAAACATAAGCTCCTAGACCTTGTATTTTTTTTCATTAATTACTTCAATCAATCATGCAGTAGAATTTTTACACCATGTCATGTTTGTAGGTTCATGAATCCTATAACATATGGTCACTACCCGGACAGCATGAGAGACTTGCTTCAAGATAGATTACCAAATTTCTCTACAGAGGATTCTGCGTCTCTAAATGGATCTTATGACTTTCTTGGATTAAATTACTATACTGCATATTATGCAGGAAATGCTAATGCTTCCGATCCAGAGCATCGTAGATATCTAACAGATTCTAATTCCTACATCACAGGCAAGCTCATGAAGTATTATAATAATATATCAATATGAGAGACCAAAAAAGGAAAAAGAGGAAAGAATCGTCATCATAGCCACGGACCAAATCGATAAAAATTGTTGTTATAACTACTATACGACCTCTTGTAGGTTAACTGACTATATACTTTTACATCCGAGTGGTTAATCTGACAATTTTTAATGCTACAGTGACGATATAGGTTTTCCGGATTAGATCTTCACTTTCTAGTGGAATGCCAACAAAACGAAATAGTTGTTATAAGGTCTTGAAATAAGAGTTAGTGTAAATAGAGTAGTAAAAGGAATGTTTCTGATTCTGGTTTTTTTTTAAAAAAAAAAAACTAAAATCCTTATTCTTAGAAAAATTTTCTCTCTATTTTGCATGATATTAGACATGAGGCTCAAAAAATCTTTTTTTTTATAATAGACTAAAAGTTAGACTTGATCCAATACTAAAAAAAATAGTAAATTTACTCTTGATTAATATATTTTTAAACATTAAAAAAAAAAAAAAAGGTCTTCAAGTAAGAAAAACCTTGGCCACCAATGGAACGGTAGTTTCAATGGTAGTAACACTCTCTTTAAGGAAAGATTACGAGTTCAATTCTTTTTATATATATATATATAAAAAGAAAAAACACCTGGGAAGTCTTGGTTAGGGTATTAAAGTTAAACAATTTTTAATTTGAATTGCATTTTGCTTCAAAAATTCTCTGCCAAGTGGATTGTTAAATTTAACCATTTTGTTAATAATTTTCAGGAGAACGAGATGGAGTCCCTATTGGTCCACAGGTTTGTATGAGAATAATATGTAATTTAAAAGAAATGTTTTAGATATGAGTGTTAATTATTTTTAAAAATCTTATATATATATATTATTTTTTTTTTTTTGTCATTTTACTTCTCTGCAAAAATGTTTTAGATAGGTGCAATACTTTCTAACTTTTTTAAATCATGAGTATTTTAAGATTTTTAAAATTTCCGAACAGGAAATATTAACTCCATTAATCTTAGGATAAAAATTGTAATTTTTTCAAAATACAAGATGCAACGTCCAAAACAGAGACGACAAAGGTAATTAATTCTTTAGATAACTGAAACTAAGAACTAATTTTATCATTTTAAATTGCAGGCTGGTGCAAAATGGCAGTATATCTATCCAGAGGGGATGCAAAATATTTTGAATTACATCAATGCCACATACCAGCATCCTATAATTTACATCACTGAAAATGGTATTTAAAAAAAAAAAAACACTTTATTATTCAAAGCTTGTCAAAGTTTTATTTCTGGAACTCATCGATTCTTGATTTCATATTGTTTCTCTATTCAGGCTACGGTGAAGCCATTGGCACGGATAAATCGCCAAAGGAGACCCAGGTTGATTTAGAAAGGATAAAATACCATTGTGACCATCTCATGAATGTTCGAGCATCTATGTGAGTTTAATTACCCAATGCGTAATTATGTGATTTTATTTTCCAGTAGCTCTTTTCTTTTTCCTTGTAAGCCAAGAACGGGACGAACATTTGAACTAATTTTTACAGGGATGATGGAGTTCAAGTCAAAGGTTACTTTGCATGGTCTTTTGCCAACAACTTCGAATTTGCAGATGGATATACAATAGGGTTTGGTTTGATGTACGTAAACCTTACATCTGATTTCGAAAGAGAGAAGAAGCTCTCATCGTGGTGGTTTTCTTCTTTCCTTTCGGCGAAATTGGATGATCCACCATTAAATTTCAAGAGACTAAGAATCGCTTGAATATGGATGAAAAAAGTGTTGGGCTCCTTACAAATAAATAATCACTAGGATAATTCACTTTTATATCCAGTGAAACTTGATTGTATGTTTTCATTTAAAACTTGGGAATCTTCCAAAAGGATCGTATGGAAATTTTCCAAGTGTTTGGGAATCTTCCAAACTTGATCGTATTGTAATGCTTTGTATTTTAACTCAGAATGTTGTGAAATCGGATGCTTTTGAATTGTCTACTATGCTCTCCGCTGTAGCACTGGGAATAGCTAATAATCTCTCTTCCTTTCAGTTCTCTTCTTTAGGTTGGCATTACTGTTCCTGGCTAACAAAAAAAAAAAATCTTGTTTTTTTTTTTATTCCCTGGGATCCAGATGTCTTAACAAATTATTATTATTATTATTATTTTACGATTCAAGCAGAGCACATGACTAACAAAATAATAATAATAATAATTCTAAGGAGAGAGAGAGAAGACTTAAACCTTTTGCTATGCTTGCATTGATGATCATATTGTTTGAATGCCACTCTTTCACAGTAAATAATAAATGTCACTCTTTCACAGTAAAATAATTATAAGAATTTTTTTTTCTTGTTAGAACTATAAGTGTCATAAAAAAAATTATTTAATTTTTAGTCATGTCGTTTTATTTTTAGGAATTTACAAAATACAAATTAATACAATATATATATATATATATATGAAATAAAAAAAGTTGTGGAATTTTACATCCAGAGTTGTAATTGAATTAAATGAAAGTGTAATTGAATTAATTGGGGATCCAATTGATAAAATTGGATTTGCAAACACTAAAATTACAAAACAAAATGACCCAATTGATAAAATATCAATTTACAAGGACTGAAATTGCACACTAAAAAGGCACGATTGCAAAAAATTGAAGCTGGAAGGAGCCAAATTGAAATTTTGGAGCAATAGTCGGATCAAAGCAGTCTTGGGTATTGTTCGGCCGATTTTCCTGGATTCATGGCTAGTAATCGTACAAGCCATGAATCATGCTACCCATGCTGTAATCTATAGTCGTTTTCCCTGCACACTCCAACATCAATTCCCCACATTCATGCTGCCCAATTTGCAGCAGCCTCCCCTTTCATTGAGTTGCCAAATTTAGCTTATAAATGTAAGGGGGGAATCTGGGTGGAGAGTGAATGAAAGGCAAAACAAAAGGGGGCTAAAATTTGAAAGATTTGGGCTTGTTTGTTTTTGTATTTTCTAGGTAGTTCCAGTTTTTTTTTTTTTTTTTTTTTTTTTTTTTTTTGGGGGGGGGGGGCAGGGGTTGATTGTTCCGCATTTACGGGTTTGGTTCTTCAAACTATCAGCCTCTTTGGGTTTTTTTTTTTATATTAATTTCCATCCTTACGGATTTCTAAGCCTCACATCTCGAAATTTGAGGTTTAATTCTTCAATATATGGGTTTTCTCTTTCAAATTTTTAGGTAGCTAGTACATCCGTTCTTGAATTTCTAGGCGACTACTCGTTCATGTTCTTGGTGTTCTTTCGGATGGTTTTGTTTTCTTCATTACATGGGTAGACCGAAGGTTTCTTAAGGCCATTTTAAGCAATATTATTGTTGTATGTTTGTAGAAAAAGAGAAATTGAGGGTTAAGAGTCGAAAAATAATGAGAAATCAACACTTGGGGTTCATCGGTTCCGGGCATTGCTAGGTTTGTGTTCTTGGTGTTCTTCAATCGTTTCCTAGGTCAACTCCCGGGGTTTCCAACTTTGATTCCATTTGCACTTGTGTTTTGAGTTTTGTTTGTTGCTTTTTCAAGTTTTAGATTGCATTTTTGATCGAGGAAAGAGCATGAACATTGTATGATTAATTGAGTTGTTTGCCTATAAAGGAATTATTAGTTCTTGGAAAACATGAGGAGCAAGAGAGAGAACGCGAAGGCCATGAAAAATGAGAGAGAGAGAGAGAGAGAGAGAGAGAGAGAGAGAGAGAGAGAGAGAGAGAGAGAGAGAGGAGGCGTTTGGATTGAATTTTTGAATTTTCTTTGCCTCTCGGACTAGTTTCTAGGCTTGAGTCTAGCTCAAGGTAAAAAAAACAAAGGCTAGATAGATTTCAATCCAAGCCTAGTCTATACCACAAAACAAAAAAAGAAAGAGGAGGTAGTCTTGGCTTATTTGCCTAAGTAAATAAAAAAAAATGACAAAGGTTAAAATGCAATCGGTTAGGTAATTAGGTTAGCCGATTATTCGGATTGTTCGGTTTTCGGCTTTACTTACATCTCCTTTCCTTTGGCCTTTGTTTCACTTTCACCCATACCACACCTTCACTCGATCAAGTCTTTCGAGCACTTCACCGACCGATAGCCACCAATGTCGAGTCTTCCACCATTCCACTAGCCGTGCAGCCACCAACCCACGAGTAATTATTGTTTTTTTTTCTACTTAGTTTTTTGAAATGTTGCTTGCTTGAACTTGTTGCTTTTGAGATGTGGATAGTGGATGTTTTTCCTAGATTGCAATGATCAATGGGTAATTGGGTAATAGGTAATCTCTATTATATTTATATTCTGTCTTGTCATGTATGTATTAACAGAGACACATGATTAAAGAATACTTGAATGAATTTGAAAGTGCTTCCACATCTAACTAGTGTTTCGACGTTGTCGAATGCACTTCACCGATGAGGCATTTTTCTTGGATTCCGTGTTCTTCGTCACTATTTTGCTTAGGCATATGAAGATCAAGAATTTTAAAGATAAAAAATTAAGAGGAAAAGGAACAACTTGAAGTTGATCACTATATGCTAAATCTGGTTCTTGCAGCTAATAACCGATGATACAAACGAGGAGGAGAAAAATTATAAACAAAATAGAAAGTAAAGACCAAAGAGGTAGAGACATGGAAGCTAGACTACGCTCGGTCCACTCTTGCTTCCATGCAAGCCCCCTTCTATCTTTCAACAACCAAGCCCTTAGCTCTCTCTCTCTCGAAGTAGCCTTTTTTTAGCTCGTATTTCTCAAGGTATCTTTTGTTATGAAATGGGTTATAATTATATATGAGGTGGAGGGTTTTGAGTGTTTACTTTAGCATAAATTCTAGGGTTTCGATTCTATTCTCAACGACTATAACTTGTGTATACCTGTAGAGAAAGAAGGAAAAGGAAGGAATATATCCTAAGAATATATTCTAAGTTATTGGATGGCTAAACGGTTGGTTTAGATGATTGGATCTTTTTGAGATGGTAACTGCTATTGGACTAAACTTTAATCCATTAAATGGCATGTAGCTCTAGAATTATTTTTTTTATTATGCCTAGTAATCATGCATCTACAAGCCTTTGTATCTCTCAAGAAAGAAATGTCATTGGGAGCCTCTACCTCATGTGATTGCTTGCTTTTTTTCTTTGATATCATCCTTCTTTTTTTACTAGCTAAGTTGAGGGAAGGCTTGAACTTCTAACCTCTATCGCATCCATCTAGGTTATGTCTTGAGAACTTCTCTTTAGATTTATTGACCATATTTCGGGCAAGAAGTTTATAATTCTACAAGCAAAGCAATTAATTTCTTAAGTGATATGGTTTGAAAAAAAAAAAAAGGTAATTTCTACCTCGTTTGCCCCGTAGGGATCCCCATCCTCGTTTGGGGCAAGGATGGGATGGAAAATTCTACCTGTTCGGAGACGGAGCGAGGAATTGGGAAATTTTTTAGGGGTGGGGTGAGGATGGGGATGGCGATCCCCACCCCAGCCCGCCCCATTGCCATCCTTTACCCCTTCCCTCTCACAAAAAAATCCTAAAAAAAAGAGAGGTTGGACTATAGTCGGTTCAGCACCTCCGTATATATATATATATATATATATATATTTTTTTTTTTTTTTTGGTTTTTCATTATTTATTTCTCTCTTTTTTTTCTTCCTCGCTTCTATTCTTTATATATATATATATATAAAGAATACAAGTAGGGAAGAAAAAAAGAGAGAAATAAATAATAAAAAACCAAAAAAAAAGGAAAGGAAAATTTGAAGCAAAATATATATATATATAATAAAATGTTGGACTAGAATTTAAATTTTATGTATGTTTGTCATTCCATATTTAATTTAGATGTTTAATTATCTCTAATCATTCTAATTAATGGAGTTTTAATCTTAAATTTATTGTATATTTTTTAGTTTATATTTAATTTACAATTTAATATTTAAATTATCCGTAATTACTTTAATTAATGTAATTTTAGTGTTTATTTATTTTACACATGTTTGTCATTAATTTAAATTTTTATAGTTGAATTTCCTTTGATTTATTTACTTAATTTTAACTTTAATTTATTTGTTTAGTAATTAGAATAGTCTGATTAATGGATGGAAGAATTGTCAAGTTTTCTAATTTTTAAAGACTAATGAGGATTCTCCATTGATAATAATAATAATAATAATAATAATAATAATAATAATAAACAAAAAAAAATGAAGGCCAATGGTTAAGTTTAATTTTAGGATTTTTTTTCAAAATTAATTTAATAGTTAATAGGTGGGAGAATTGAGTTTTCTAATTCTTAAGGATTGATGATGATTTTTCATCGAAATGTTAATAATTAGATTAATAGTTAATAGGTTGGCGAATTGTTGAGTCTCCTAATTGTTAGGAAGTGATGACAATTTCTCATCGAATTGTTAATAATTAGATTTGGTGATCAATAGTTAGATAATTGTCAAGTCTTTTTTTAAGGATTGATGACTGTTTTTTCCTCGATAAAAAAAAATTAAAATTTCTAATGAAGTCTCTTATCCGATAGGAACTGCAGTTAAAAAAAGTAATTTTAATTAAAATTTCTAATGAAGTCTCCAATTTGATAAGAACTATCGTTAATAAAAAATGAGAAAATAAAATAAAATAAAATTCTTAACAAAGTCTCATATCCGATAGGAATCGTTGTTAGTTTTAAAAAATATCATAAATATCCAAACAATTAGGATGTTCTTCAATACACTAGTTATGTCGAAACTCAAAAAGTGGATTCGATGTTTGAATCGACG